CCTTTGGGAGGCTGAGGCGAATGGATTGCATGAGCCCGCGGGTTCGAGACCCGCCTAGGCAACTTGGTGAGACCTCATCTCTACAATAAATCAAAAATTAGCCAGGTGTAATAGCGCACGCCTGTAGTTCCGGCTACTTGGAAGGCTTGAGGCAGAAGGACCGCCGGAGCCCAGCAGGTCGAGGCTGCAGTGGCCGGAAGCATGCCACTGCACTCCAGCCTGTGTGACAGAGTGAGACTCCAACTCAAAAAAAAAAACAACAAACCACAAGGACCCGTGCAACCTGCCCTGCCCTCCTCACATGGACAAAACAGGACTACTCGGTCCTCAGGGATCCAAGAACCACTGGTGCTGTCATGACTGAGTGGTCAGTAAGTGTTAGTGAGTGGGTGAGTGTCTACGCACAGAGTCACCCAACCACCACTGCCAGGCAGTCAGGGTACCACGAACACCTACTGTGTCGATAACCTGCAGGGGCACTCCTGACACACTCTCCCCTGGAAGGAAACCCCAAAACGAAAACAGCTGCCTCAGAAGGTCACCAAACTGCCTTCTGGAAAGGCAACAGAAAACAAGCTGCTGGCACTGGCAGGAGCAACTCCGATGGCGGGGTGACACGCAGGCCCAGCTGGCGACTGGGTCACAGAATGGGGCCAAGAATGTGCCTGCTGCCATACAGCAGTCGTTCTCAGGTACACACGCATGGTAAGCCAAGCAAAATGCCAGCACCCGACCTCACAGCCCCAAACAGGAAAGCTCTCTGCATGCTGCCTGTGGTACCCAAGTCAGGTCCCTCTAGGGAAGCCAAATGTCCTTGTCAGAGGCCTGTGGCCAAAGGAATGCTCAGAGATGTGCCCCTGCCTACCTTAATCATGTCATCCATGATGTGTATATCGAAGCCTTCACAGTCACCACAGGGGCTCCGGATCCGCCACAGGTCCTGTGAGGAAGCAGCAGCCCTGTCTACACCCACTAGCCAGGGCACAGCTGACACCCACACCCACCCGGGTACAGGGAAGTGTGCCAACAAGAACAACAGGAACATCTTGCTGTTCCTGCAACCTGCAAAAGAGATGCCTGAGTATGATGGGACCAAAGACCCAGGACGGTTTCTGTAGCAGACTCAGGTGGGACTCTGCAAACTCTGACATGACGCCAAGTCCTCGCCTGTAAGGAGAAAACCAGTCAAAGCTACCAGGCTGGGGTTTGATGCTTCCTGCCTAGACCATCCTAAACACCATTTCTTTGGGAAAGACTTTTAAACTGGTCCCCCAAGGCTCTGCACCTGTAAACAGAGCATGAGGATGCTGGAGAGAGAAAAAGGCCCTCCGAGGAAGCAACCCAGAGTACACCCAGGCCAGGCAACCTTCCCTCCTTGCCTCCTGGGAGTTATGCTTGGGAGTAGGTGCTGATCATAACATCCCCTCTTTGGCCATGAAAACCAGAATTCATGTGGAAATCTGATCAGGTACGTAAACAACAGAAGAAATGCCCAGAAATTAAGTGCTAGAGCTACTAAGCTACCAAGAGATAAAGCCATTCTTATAAAAGAAACATCAAATGAGATTCACTCTACATTTCAGGTGAAGCATTTCAAAATCCTTTTAATAAAAATGCCTTTCTCAAAATGACTTTGTGACTGTGGTTCTGCTTTGATGAGAAAATTAAAATGAACCTTTTCAATTTTTTTCTTGCATAAAGAAGCTGACTCTCCCATCTCAAAATGCTTTTAACAACTGGAGCCTCAGTCCTTAATGAGAGCAGAGCCAGCCGCACGGCATGTCTTCTGAAACACTTAATTTCTATTTTTTAATTATTCTGATAAGCCACAATTGTAAAATGACAACACACAGCCATTTCCATTTCAAATGTCAAATTACTGCATGTTTAAAAGGTAAATGTCTTCTACTTAACCCTGCAGTGTGCTGACAGAAAAGAAAGGCTCAAATCATCATGGGAGTTGCTCTATGCACACTCAAGGTCTCTGCAAGGAAACAAAGTTCTCCACCCCCTTCTTCTGCTTTTGTTTTCTGCAAAGCCCTCCAGGTGGCCTACCCTGAACTCCACAACCATGGCATGCAGTGAGGCAGCCTGGGGCATCACCACGGCTCCAGGCCCCAGGTGCTGGTCCACAGCGGTCCGGACATACCAGAAGTAGAGGTTGTGCCACGGCAGCAGGCTAGTGGTGAAGAACGGTTCGCCCAGGAGGAGAGAGACCTGGTGATCAGAGCAAGAAGCAAGATCCAGGCATCAGAAGGGTTCAGCTGAGGAGTGAAGGATAGGTTACAGGTTTCATAGGAACATGGAAATAATGGCCATTTCTTAACTTGACAAGCATGCCAGGTCCGTGTCTGCCCTTGAGGTTGTAAAGATGAGAAACAGAGTCCTGGGTTCAGGAAGAGGGAAGCAGATGGGGTGGGAGCTGTTACCATTTGACAGACAGCAGCAACAAAGGGGACATGGAAGGACCCAGAAACAAGAGCCCCAGAAAGGGATTCCAGGACAGCATCCTGTAAATCCCCATTCAACACTCTGTCATCACAACTTCTCAGTGCTTGTCTGTCTTCCCCACTAGGCTCTGAGGACACCAAGAGTGGAGACACTGGCAGCACAGTGTCTCCAGCAATCATACAAGTGCCAGGCCCAGAGCAGATGTTCTATAGATATCTGTAAGTAAATGAGCAAATGCATGAGTAGGAGGCAGAAAAGCCAAGTCACAGGGAGAGTGTATTCCTGACAGAAGGACGACAGAGGCAAGGCCTGAGCAGGAACAAGCCCTTCCAGGAGCTCATCAGGCAAGCGTGCTAAGGGTAGAGCCAGGTCATCCAAGGCAGCTGAGGACAGGTTAAGGGGCTGGATTCATCCTGGAGGCGAGAGGAGGGTCACTAAAAGCTTCTATTAGGGGTTCAAAATAAGAAATAATGTGGTTTAAAAGATCCCTGTAGAACCATGAAGCAAGGAGGAGAGCACCTCTAGGTGGAGCTGGGAACAGGAGGTAACTCAGGTGAGTACTGCACCAATCCAGGCAAGGAGCAGAGTTTGTAGACAGGGAGGAGAAGACATGGCAGAGACTGAGGAGGCAGACTACCCAGGATATGGGCATTAAGGGAGGGGCTCGTCAGAGATGAGAGGATGCATGGAAGATAAAAAGGGCTAGCCCTGAGTACTTTCCCTGCCTACTGCCCTGGCAAGAATAGACATTCTCATCACTCCTACTCAACAGTGACCTGAGTCTCCCAGTGCCCCATATAAATGGCTTACAGAATTTGTCTTCTACACTCTCATCTATGAGGGAACAAAAGGGCAACTTGTAGATGAATGTTTATAGTAGCATTATTCACAATAGCCCAAGAGTAGAAACAACCCAAAAGTCTGTCAACTGATGAATGAATAAACAAAATGTGGTATATCCATATAATGGGATATTATACAGCCATAAAAAAAGATGAAGTACTGACCTATGCTACAATATGGATGAATCTTGAACACATTATAGTAAGTGAAAGAGACAGTCACAAGAGACCACATATTGTACAGGAAGTTGATCGCTAATGGGTATGGGGCTTCTTTTAGGTACTGAAAATGTTGTAAAATTTATTTGGTGATGGTTAAACAACCTTATGAACACACCAAAAAAATAACTGAATTGTATATTTTAGATAAGTGAATTATATGGTATGTGAATTATATCTCAACAAAACTGCTATCTTAAAAAAGGCATGGGGAAAAAAATGGGCAAAAGACTTGAACAGACACCAGGTAAGACATATGAATAGTTATTGGCAAATGAAAAGATATTCAACATCATCAGTCGTTAAAATACAAATTAAAACTACAATGAGACATCATTACACACCCACTAAATTGGTTACACTAAAAAAGAAAATACACACCCATTAAATTGGTTACACTAAAAAAGAAAATACCAAGAACTGGTGAAGATCCTGAAACACTGGAACCTTCATACATTACTGATAGGGATATAAAATGGTACATCCACCTTGGACAAGAGTTTAGCAATTTCTTAAAAAGTTCAACATAATTACCGTACAACCCAGCAATTCCACACCAAGGCATCTGCCTAAGAGAACCGAAAACATACATCCTCATAAAGACTTATACACCAATGTTCACACAAGCATTATTCAAAACAGCTAAATACCAGAAACAATCCAATGTCCATAAACAGGTATATAAGGCTGGGCGTGGTGGTTCACGTCTGTAATCCCAGCACTTTGGGAGGTCAAAGCAGGAGGACTGCTGAGCCCAGGAGTTTGAGACCAGCCTGAGCAGATAGTGAGACCTTGTCTCTACAAAAATAAAAAGTAAGCTAGGTGTGGTGGTACATGCCTATAATTCCAGCTAATCGGGGGGCTGAGGTGGAAGGAGCTCCTGGAGCCCAAGAGATCAAGGCTACACCTAATTGTGCCACTACACTCCAGCTTGGGTGACAGAGTGAGACCATGACTCAAAAACAAACAAACAAACAAAAAAAAACCCCTATAAATTAATAAATAAAGTATGGCACAGTCATACAATGGAATACTACTCAGCATTAAAAAGGAACACAATACTGACACATTCTAACAACATGGATGAAGCTCAAAACATTATGCTCAGTGAAAAGAGCCTAATGCAAATGACCACATTTTGCATTATTTCATTTATGTGAAATGTCCAGAAAAGGCAAACATAAGGAAACAGAAACCAGATCAGTGCTTATGTAGGCCTGGGGATGAGTGGATTGCAAACAGGAGATGGAAATGTTCTAAAGACTGAGTCACTGCTGTATAACTCCATACGTTTACTAAAAATCACTGAATTGTACATTTGAAATGGGTTAATTCCATGAAAAATCAATGGCATCTCAATAAGGCTATTATTTAAAAAAAAAAAAAAAAAAGAGCCGGGCTCGGTGGCTCAGCCTGTAATCCCGTGCCTTTGAGAGGCTGAGGTGAGTGGATTGCCTGAGCCCATGGATTCGAGACTCACCTGGGCAGCGAGACCTCATCTCTACAATAAATCAAAAAATCAGCCGGGCGTGGTAGCGCATGCCTGTAATTCCGGCTACTTGGAAGGCTGAGGTGGAAGGATCGCCTGAACCCAGTAGTAGGTCAAGGCTGCAGTAGCCACGAGTGTGCCACTGTACTTCAGCCTGGGCAATAGAGTGAGACTCCAACTAAAAAATAAACAAAGAAGGAAAAAAAATTAAAAAATAAATGAAATGTTGGCACAAAAGATTAAAAATGACAGGCTCCACATGTCCAGTTTGAAGGAAAGATACAGGATTGGCAGTTGAACCTTAGAGATCTAAATCCAAAAAGGTAGAGTGAAGACAAACTCTGGTCAGATTCACGAGAGGGAAGAGGTGTGATTACCTGGGAGGATGAAACAGAAGGGAAGGGGAGGGGCAAGAGGAGAGTGCCAAGAATAGCACAAGGGAAGGATTCAGTGAAGGGAGACAACCATGAAAGCATCTGAGAAGGAGCAGCCAGAAAGAGAAGAGGAAAGAAGCGTGGGGAAAGCAGTCACTCAAGAATGCAGGGAGAGGTCCACTGGGTACAAGGGCCGAGGGGATGGAGAAGATGAAGCCTACAGGGAGACCATGACTGGTAACTATGAAGGCCCTGGTGGAAGCAGTTTCGAGGCCTGGAAGACCAGATGCAGCAGGAAGATGTGAGCAGGAAGGTGAAGACAGGAGTGCTGTGAAAAGAAAAGGGGACAGGAGCACACTCCTGGGAGAAAAAGAGAGAGAGAGAGAGAGAGAGAGAAAGGGCAATTATGTGCTTATCAGTTAGCTCTATGAAAGCCTTACCACAGCCTTCACACTGGAGAGTTCCCAGTTGGTAAGTTACATGGGGGATCCACCATGAGACCCAGAGGACAAAGTGCAGCCCCAAGTATTTCAGTGCTGTGTTGCCCACCCTAACACTGCCTCGGTATAACTGCAAGGTTCCTGCTACTCACCTTTTTATCCTCCAAGTCTGCATCTGTTAATAGTTCAGGTCGTTTCTCTATTATATTAATTTTATCTTCCAAGTGATTAGCCTTGAAGATCTTAGAAAGAAAACAATAAAATTACTGTATTTATACTGAAGTATTGTTTTTGCCTAGAAAAAAACCCCTTTCTTTTATTTTTTTTAATTGAGTCAGTCTCACTCTGTTGCCCAGGCTGGAGTGCAGTAACACACTCACGGTCGCCGCAGACTCAACCTGCTGGACTCAGGCGATCCTTCCGCCTCAGCCTCCCAGGTAGCCAGAACTACAGGCATATGCCATCACATATGGCCAAATTGTTCTTGATTTATTGTAGAGAAGAGGTCACCAAGTTGCCTAGGCTGGTCTTGGACTCATGAGCTCAAGCAATCCTCTCACCTTGGTCTCCCAAAGTGCTGGGATTATAGGTGTGAGATACCACACCTGGCAAAAAAAAAAAACAAACCCTTTCAAAGTATCTGTTTGTTTCAAGTTTTCTGATCAAATAGTTCTGGAGCACCACTTTTATCTGCTTTGTGGAAATTCTCTCCTCCAGAGCATCCTATACACCAAGGATAAGATCATGAGCAAAATGTTGTAGCAGCAAAAGAAATTTATCTTGCAAGTACCTAGTATGACTTAGCCCAGTCCTGTAGTACTGGTGGAGGTGGATTCTTCTTTGGAGAGAAAATCAAACCAATCACTGTCCAGGGAGAAAAACACCATCTCTGATCAGGCTATAGCAATGACTCCCTGGGTCCTGGTGTCCCAGAAATGTATCATATGTTCAGTTCTATCCACTGCAGCAGTTCAGTTTTCATAGTTTTGTGTGAAGTGAGGAGAAAAGCCTACACTTCTTCAGCCACAAAAAACAAAGCAGAGTGCAAACATCTGCTTCTATTTCAATGACAGCCCCAGAAGCCTTCTGGGCTGCTCTCTAGATGGGAGCCAAGATAACAGAGGGGAGCTCTCACTGGCAGCAGCTGCTCCTCCTACTTCAAAGCCATCAATCCTTAGACTTGGGAAGGAAGGTCCCATAGGTCCTCTCATTATTTTAGCAACAATAATTATCACTTACTTTTTTCATCAGTTTATGAGAAGCTGCTGAACTCTCTATTGTAAATACCTAAAGAGAACACCAAGCTATTAGTTCTAAGAGATTCACTCAACAGAGGAAGAAATTAAAGGTGAAAATGAGACAAGACCAATCCAAGGCAGAGGACATCACTGTAACAACTCTACCTGTGCTCATCCCCTACCTGGGATGGCACCTACTTTCTGTTGACCACAGCAAGGATCCTACAGCCTGACTCTTGCCTGCACACACAGGCAATAAAAGCCCTCTTCCTCTCAGTCAAGCATGCTGAACACACAACAGCAGCCTTTGCAAAGAGCTTTAATTGCAGGATTATGTACCCCCAACTAAACAACACCCTGACTCAAGAGCCTACCTTAGGACACTGACACAGGACACTGACACAAAGGCGCATATCTAGTACCTGCTCTGCCCCAAGGTGATGGGCCAGCACGGAGAGCAGACTGCCATCGCTGACACAGAGGCAGATGCTGTCTGGTTTCAGTACCTGCAGGGAAAGGGCAACTCAGCACAGGGTTTCTTACAGTGTGTCATAAGATTCTTGTTGGCAAGATGTCAGAAATGCCTTCCTTCTATTCCCCTACTCGCTCAGACACTGGTCATGAAACCTGATCTCCTTGGTCCATCCTTGCTAACTGCTGGCTGGATCCTCGTATGCCCCCATGTGGTCATGCTTGCCTCCCACCCATGCAGTAACCATGCCAACCCTCAAATACACCTCACATCTCCCCATTTGTACCAACAGACAGCATAGATCTCCTCAACTCAGTTTAGAGGCCCCACTGGGACAGGCCACCTCCTAGGTCACAACCACAGGTTTCTTCCCTGTCTGGTGACAGCACACGCAAGGCTCAAGTGTTCACAAGTGACTTCCTCTGAGAGAGGGTCACAGCAGACTCCTCTGAGAGACTTGGATCCTCCCCTGCCCCACAAAATGCATATATATGCACATATTTCTGTATGTACCTCCAAGAGCCCCGACCCCCTGAACCCCTATCTGTAGTTCCCAAGCTGAGAGTCCCCTCCTTCAGGCAGCATGGAGAATAGGTTTTTAGGCAGGAGTTACATGATCAAATTCACATTTCAGAAAATGTTAGAAAGGTGGCAACAGATGAAGAGAAGAGTGGTGGCTGAACTCATTGGGGTCACCTATAACAATTATTGGTATCTGCAAAGGCATCCCAGGACACATGCAGAGGCTGGGGGAAGGCTCCTAGCCACAAACTCTCCCAGGAGAGCAGAGATTAAGTCCTCTAGGAATTCCAGAAACAAGCTCTTCTCTCTAGTGGCACCCCAGAAGGAGCTAACTGAAGTCACTCACAGACAAAGGAACACAGAAAACAAAATTAGCAAATCATAAGCAGAGTGCCAGGGCCCCTTCTTGTCCACAACCACCCAAGGGCTGGACACTTACAGTCCTCAGGGCCCGGATGTATTGATCAGTTCTGTCCTGATCATTGATCTCTCCAAATCGAGGCCGGTTCCAGAGCAGGTGTGCCTGGCAGTCACACACAGGGCGCATCTGGCAGACTTTCTCATTCTTTTCAGGGCTGGGCCAGGAGATGAAAGATATATACAGGTGATGAGCATCTCCACAGGTTTCTAGAGGGTATGAGTCTGGACACTGGCTCCCCAGTAGGCTCTGGAAGTTACAGGGCCCTCCAATTTAAGACTTTTCATATACGTCTGCTCCAGAGTCCAGCAACCCGTGAACTCTTCTTAGTACACAAGAACGGGCACTGACACACAGTGAACAAAGTCACAAACCTTTGGTTTTTTTTATTCTGTTCAGATACAATTGGCTATTCATGCCTCTAATGCAGGATTTACATAAACTCAGTCTCAAGTCTCAGTCCTCCATCCCATACCTGGTCTTGTGCAGGCTGTACCATATGCAGTAGTCATCGTGGTGGGCTACCAGGCAGAGGGCTGAGCCTTGTACCACGGGCTCCTCTTGTGGCAAGAAGTATACACATTGCATCCAGTGGTCCCGCCACTGAAATAAGGAGCAGATTGTTAGCTGTCACCAAGTTGCAACAGGAGCCACCCTTCTAATCGAAGAGTCAAACATCAAGTCAAGCATCAGTCTTCATGGAGACCACGATGTAAACTACAGCTGGCTACTGTGGCTGAAGAGATAAAGAGAAAAACCTCTTACGTCAGAAAGGCCAGTGGCCCAACAACTTGCCAAAACCCTGCTGGCTTTAGGAAGACTCATGAACCCAAGGGCAGCAGGGGTCAAGTGCAGGCTTCAGGCTCCACCCCACCGGAGCAGCACCAATACTCTCTTTGACATGTTGGGCTATGCTTAATGTTTCATTTGTAGAGGGAAAAAAAAGGCTTAAACCTAGTGGTTTAAACCCCATTTTGAACAGTCTCATGGCACATATTCCAAAGGGTTTGACAAACTTGAAGTTTACTTTTGTCTTGTAAGTGATTTCAAAACACAAGACAGTCAAATGTAATGTATTAAACCTAACTGGATCCTAGATCAAGGAAACAAATGCTATTAAAGACATTTGTAGACAATTCAGTTTTATTCTGAACCATATTTAGACGATACTATAGAATCACTGTAAATTTTCTTAGGAGTGACCATGGTGTTTTGCTTATACCGGAGAACATTTTCCTTCTTAGGAGATGCATGCTGAGGTATTTAAGAGTAAAGTGTCAGGTAACTGCAACTTACTTTCAAATAATGTAGCAAACATGGGTGTGTCTGTTTGAGTAGAGAGAAGGAGGCAGAGAGACATAAAGCAAATATGGCAAATGTTAACAATTGGTAAAATTAAGAAAAGTCTATCAGTGTTCATTTTTACTTAATAGGTTGATTTAAATTTTTCAGAAAAATTGGGAAAAGGGTAGAGAAAGATTTTGTTTGGCTTATTACTTTGAATTAAATGGAGTTTTTAAAGAAGTGAAACACTCTAAATTTTCAAATATGGTTTTCAATGATCCAGAATCAGCTTTTAATAAACTGTGCTGATCCTTACTATGAATCCCCACATATAAAATTCTATCCTAACAAAAACCAAACCAAAAAAAAAAGCTACATTCACATAAATATGCAAATCACAGTTATTTACACTAGCAAAAACTGGAACCATCCCAAATGTTTCGCAGTCCAGAACTGGAAATACAATTCCTCTGCAGAATACTCAGACTTTTAGAATGATGACTATGATTGCTTCTCAGCCTTCTGGCTAAGATCAAGTGCAGAATGACGACTATGAAGGCTATGAGACAGCACGAAAAAGACAGAAGAGCACTGGACAAGATCCACACATTTGGAAGGAGACCTAAGAAAGGTTGTTATTTGGGTGATGGAACCATCAGCAATTTTTTATTTATTTTGTTTTACATAATGAGACTTATTACTCTTATAATCTTTAAGCCTCTTTTCAAAAAAGAAAGAACTGCTGAAAAAGTAGATGCCTGGCTCAATTCTGATGAGATGACTGCCAGTTTATTCTCTGTCATTTTCAGGAACTAAAGAAAACTGACCCCACAGGGACTCCAAGAGAATGCTCGGCACCTAAGGAATGCACCCACCCACCTGGTCTTGAATTTAACAAAAAGGCAAGAGAATGACATTCCCCCATACCCAAGATGCTTATTTAAACACAAAAGCTAGAAAATGAAAATATAACCAGACATGTTCTGGAAAAAATAAATAGCATCAAGGAAGGTAAAACAGGTACTCTTAAACCTGTAATTCATTCCCATAGTATGCAAATTTATCCAAACAAAGGAGAGGCCTTCCCTGACCTCACCTGTGCTCCCCTGGTGCTTCCCTGTCATCCTATCCTTCCCACACTACCCACCACAGGGGGCCTCTGGATCCTAATGCTAAAGAGCTGGTGACAGAACCCACTGTGCCAAGGTGAGACAGGCTAAATATATTGGATCAAAGTGGTTCTGTGAATTCACGAGGGAGATTCATTAGCGGCTTTCAAAATTCCAAACAGTCCAAAAGTGATCGCTGGGAGAGAAAGGACACAAGACTCAGTCAGAAGATCTGGGGACAGAGCTTTCACCAGGACAATGGACACAGTCCCTGCTTGAATCCCTTTAGCCTGAGTCCTACTTTGGGTATTACTGTTTCTACCTGGTGTGTTTCATGAGAGGATTCAAGGAGAAAATATATACAGTAGTGCTCTGAAGATATATAAATAAAGTATTAACATCTTAATGTTATTTTTATTCTAATTTTGTACCCATCACACTAGTGGAGAAGCAGAAAGTAGCCCAGCGCCAATCTCAACTCTGTAGGTGAATTCTGAGTCTGTTTGTCTGTCCCCTCCCCCCGTCAGCCTGCCGAAAGCCAGACAACTGGAAGGTGGAGAAGAGACTAAGGAGTGCATAGGTCCAGGCTGACTGACAGCAATCCCGCAGCTGTCATGACTCTTTGACCTAAGTATTGGGGGGGGCGGGTGCCGGCCAGCTAAGGCCTTCTATGAAGTCAACACTTGTGATATACCTAGAACCAGCAGGTGAGCATTCAAAACAAAAGCCAGTGTTAACACCAGAAGAGGCTGATCAACAGGATGGTGCCTGAGATGCTCTCGGGTAGAGGGGGGTTTTAGTTTTCAGTCTTTTCATACTGTTTTCCTCTGAGTGTGTGTGTGGGGGGCGGAGATAAATAACATGCACATGAGGGAAAATTCAAAAGCTACAAGGACAAAGAGTGAAAAATAAGTTTCCTTCCCACTCCTAACCTCCAGCCCCACTCCTAGAAGCAATCGTTTTTACCTGTTTCTGGAATTCTTCCAAAGATATCCTTATACACACACCACACATAACTACACATTCATAAACACATATATTCTGATTTTTTATTCATTGGTGTTACAAAGTTGGTACCCCACCTACTGCTCTGCACCATTATTTATTTATTTTTAGTCAGGGTCTCACTCTGTAGCCCAGGCTAGCGTGCAGTGGTAAGATCAAGGCTCACTACAGCCTTGACCTCCTAGGTCAGGCGATCCTTCTGCCTCAGCCTCCCAAGTAGCTGAAACTACAGCCATACACCACCACATCCAGCTTATTTTTTGACTTTCTGTAGAGATGAGATCTTGCTATGTTGCCTAGGCTGGGGCTCAAATGCCTAGGCTCAAGCAATCCTCTCACTTCAGTCTCCCAAAGTGCTGGGATTACAGAAGTCAGCCACCATGCCTGGCTTTTATTTTTGTTTCATTTAATAATCTGTCCTAGCTGGGCTCGGTGGCTCAGCCTGTAATCCCGCGCCTTGGGAGTCAGTGGAGTGCCTGAGCCCTCGAGTTCGAGACCCACCTGGGCAACTTGGTGAGACTTCATCTCTACAATAAATAAAATAACTAGCCGGGTGTGGTAGCACGCGCCTGTAGTTCCGGCTACTTGGAAGGCTGAGGCAGAAGGATCGCCGGAGCCCAGCAGGTCGAGGCTGCGGTGGCCGGAAGCGGCCACTACACTCCAGTCTGGACGACAGAGTGAGACTCCAACTCAAAAAAAAAAAAAATAATAATAATAATAATAATCTGTCCAGGAGATTGTGCCACATCAGTAGAGAGCTACCTCATCCCCAAAAGGATAATGAACTTAGTCCCTATTACTGGCCTTAAGGTTGCCCTTTCTCTACTAAACCAGGCTACACACATTCATTCTGCACACAGACAAATCCACCCAGAGTCCAATGTCTATATGTGGCATTACGTTCCATCTTGACAGACTGAGTCACAATGCACTTCATTGATGTTCTGATGATTCACTTTTCTGCTCTTTCCCCAATCTTCACCAGCAGTATACTATCAAACTTTTTATTGTTTATACACTGGTAGGTGAAAATAATATCTCATTGTAGTTGAAAACTGCATTTCTCTTCTTTTAAAGAAATGGGGTCTCCAGCCTGAGCAACATGGCAAGACCTTATCTCTACAATAAATAAAAAATAAATAAAATTTGCCAGGCAGTGTGGCACATGCCTGTGGTTCCAGCTGCTTGGAAGGCTGAGGCAGAAGGATCACCTGAACCCAGTAGGTTGAGGCTGTGGTGGCTGAGTGTGCCACTGCACTCCAGGCTGGGTGACAGAGATTCTGACTCAAAAAAAAAAAAAAAAAGAAGTGGGGTCTCATTGTCACCCAGGCTGCAATGCAATGGCATGACCATAGCTTACTGTAGCCTCAAACTCCTGAGCTCACATTCTTCTCCCACCTCAGCCTCCTATGTAGCTGGGATTATAGGTGCGTGCCACCATATCAAGCTAAAGTTGTATTTCTCTTACTATGAGTATGGAATCTCATATTTCCATATTCTCAGTATTTCTTATTCAGTTCATGTCTTCTGCTCACTTTCTGCTAAACTAGAGAAGGTAGATATTGAGGTCACAGAAAGTGATGCTGTAGTTCTCTATTCCAAGCTGATGTGAACCTCCTGGGATTACTCTGGGACAGTAGAACCAAGATCTAAGAGTGGCTGCACCAGGATGAGAAGGAGAGGGGAGCTACCTCACCAAAGGTTCTCTGTTGCTCACCCATCCACTGGTGCTGACCATGATCTCACCCTGGGAGGACTGCCTTGCTACAGTTAGCCTTTGCCTGCTTTTAAAAACTCTTCTGAAGCCAGGCTCAGTGGCTCAGCCTGTAATCCTGTGCCTTTGGGAGGCTGAGGTGAGTGGATTGCCTGAGCCCGTGGGTTCGAGACCCACCTGGGCAGCGAGACCTCATCTCTACAATAAATCAAAAAATCAGCCGGGTGTGGTAACGCATGCCTGTAATTCCGGCTACTTGGAAGGCTGAGGCAGAAGGATAGCCGGAGCCCAGCAGGTCAAGGCTGCGGTGGCCAGGAACGGCCACTGCACTCCAGTCTAGGTGACAGAGTGAGACTCCAACTCAAAAAAAACCAAAAACAACAACAACAAAAAAAACTCTTCTGAAAGAACATAAGATGGAGTCAATATAGCCAAAGAGCAGCCATTCTGACACTGTCTGGTTCTGTCATGTTTTCTTACATTACCTAGCTTACCCTCTAATCAAGGACAAACAGTTTCTCAGAGGTAGTATTGATAGTAGTTTTACAGCTTGTTTTGTATTAACTAGTTTTTCAAGTATTTGCCTCCAGCCATAAGAAAACCAAGTTGGTCAGGTGCGGTGGCTCACGCCTATAATCCCAGCACTTTGGGAGGCCAAGGTGAGAGGAATGCCTGAGCCCATGCGTTCAAGACCAGCCTGGGCAACTTGGTGAGACCTCACCTCTACAATAAATCAAAAAATTAGCCAGGCATGGTAGCACATGCCTGTAGTTCCAGCTATTGGAAGGCTGAGGCGGAAGGTCGCCTGAGCCCAACAGGTTGAAGCTGTGGTGGCCAGGAGTGTGCCACTGCCCTCCAGCCTGGTGTGACAGAGTGAGACTCCTACTCAAAAAAAAAAAAGAAAACCAAGTTAACCTAATCAGCCTTTGTGACCTTCATGACAAAAGCAGACCCAATCACCTTGGCAACAGTCACCTGACTAACCCACCCATCTGCCTGCCATCTAACACATGATGTCAGTCAGTACCTAACCTGTCCTTTCATGATGATATGAAACAGACCACCACCCAATCACCTTAATGACCTGCCCTCATCAAAGGGAAGATTTAAAAGGCATTCAACCTCAAAGAGCAGCCACCACTGTTTTTGTTAAGTACTGGCCAGACCATGTATTCGTTGAACTATGTTTTCCTAAAACTTTAGCCACCTTGAGGAGATGAATCTTCTCTAATTTACTTTCTAAATAAACTATATTTTTCAATCTAACTACTATACAATTCTTTGCATTTTTCAGGTGCCTAGACACCTGAACACAGACTGCCCCACCCCATCTGACCTAACATCTTCTTTGCCTCTGAATCTGATACAGTCCCTTCTGTTTCAATACCTGTGAATCTAAGGTTCAACTGCTACTTTCCCATGAACAACAGTGGACAATCCCTAATTGACATGAAAACATGCTAAACTCCTGCCTCTTACCTGAAGCCCCTCTGGGTCTGAAAGTGCCCAGAAGGGGGCCATGGTGCACTTGATCTTCCCTTCAGGGTCCATTTCAATGTCCCACCAGGAGAGAACCACCTGAGCTTGGCCAGATGCCAAAGGTTCAAACTGCCTGCTATGGCAGGCTGCTGAGCTACTGACTTGCTTGCTGAAGTCCACACTGTGGAAGAATATTCAGGAACTTAGGCATGTTTTAGCCTTACACACTCCAACTTTAAGCATTTATGGTGACCTCGACAGTAATGCTAGGTGATTGTAAAAGACTCTTTCAGCAACTTCCAAGGCAGGTGACATAGCTAGATTACTTCCCACTCAAAAAGAGCCTCTGCGGTGCCTCAGCCTATAATCCTGCGCTTTGGGAGGCTAAGGTGAGTGGATTGCCTGAGCGCACAGGTTCCAGACCCGCCTGGGCAACTTGGCGAGACCTCATTTCTACAATAAATAAAAAACTAGCCAGGCATGGTAACGCGTGCTGGGAGCGGCCACCGCACTCCAGTCTGGGCAACAGAGTGAGACTCCAACTCAAAAAAAAAACCAAAAACAAAACAAACAAACAAACAAAAAAGAGCCTCTGAAGGCTGGGTTCAGTGGCTCAGCCTGTAATCCCAGCACTTTGGGAGGCTAAGGTGAATGGATTGCCTGAGCCCACAGGTCCAACACCAGCCTGGGCAACTTGGTGAGACCTCATCTCTACAATAAATCAAAAAATTAGGTAGGCATGGTAGTGCACGTCTGTAGTTCCAGCTACTTAGAAGGCTAAGTAGGATCGCCAGAGCCCAGCAAGTCAACACTGGGGTGGCTGTGAGTATGCCACTGCACTCCAGTCTGCGCAATGGAGTGAGGCTACAACTGAAAAAAAAAAAAAAGAATCTCCGAAGACCCAAATTCCATCAAGCAATGTCATCCACCCAGGGTGGCTCCTTGTACCTGAACATAGGCAGTACATCACTGAGGATGGTAAAGTCGGCCGGTGACATCTGGTTCAGCTGAATGTCACAGACAGAGGGTGCACCAGGGCACCTCTCCAAGTCCAAAGGAGGGACAATGACCTGCTCTCCGAAGCTGGTCTGAATGTGGACGGGAAACAGCTTGTTCCATGACCACATCCTTTTGGATTCCACCAGTTGCGCGTAGATGGTTGCTCTGTGAGGCACTGCCTCACAATTTTCCTACATTTATATTAAAAAAAGAAATAAAAGAACAACAAAAAAAAATCAGGTACTCTGACCCACAGTAATTCCCACTGATCTAGAGAAGTTTATTACTTAACATTAGGTCAGTTTAATAACATCTAACACTTTTACTGTTAGCATAGTGAATTGTTTTCAGTCATATACTCTCAGAAAAGAAAGGAAAAAAATAGATTTCAAAAAGAATACTAGGCCTAAAATGATTTGTGCCAGATAAATTCCTGGCTATCTGGCATGCATGTATGTATGCATTTATTTATGAGCCGGGGTCTCACTCTGTTGCCCAGGCTGGAGTACAGTGGTATGCTACACATGACCACTGCAGCTTTGACTTGCTGGGCCCAGGTGATCCTTCCACTCAGACTTCCAAGTAGCTGGAACTACAGGTGTATGCCACCACGCCTGGCTACTTTTTCATTTATTGTAGAGACGATGTCTCACCATGTTGCCCAGGCTGGTCTCAAACCCATGGGCTCAGGCATTCCTCTCACCTCAGTCTCCCAAAGTGCTTGGATTATAGGTGTGAGTCACCACACCTAGCTC